GCCCCAAACCGATCCCGCGCGCCACCCTTGGCCAGGATAGGCCGGCCAGGAGCGAGGCCCAGAGCGCGGCACCACGGAGAACCTCAGACCTCCCTCCACACCCCGGGCTTATCTCAGGGTCTAACCACACACACTTGACCCCTATTGACACGGGGCCTTAGGGAACGCGGGTCAGGACTGTGCTGTAGGTGTATACCAGGGTGTGGTGGGTGCCTTTGTGTTTGAAGGAGTGAGTCAGAGCCACCTTGATTTGCCTGTGGTCAAACCTAATCTGATTGGCCGCCTTGCTCGGGGACCGAGGGATAAGAAAGGAGTAAAGGAGGCTGGAGACTGAGCAATCCTATTGCAGCATCAGGACCAAACAAATAAAAGATAAGCAAATCTTGACCAGGCTCCCCAAGTTCTTAGAGCTCAGGTGCATGTTCGGCCAGAAGAAAAACAACAAACACCTGCCTCTCCATCCCTAATTTAGCCCCAAACAGAGAGTTGTAGATAAGACCGCTGGAATCAGAAGAGATGACAGAAGTCACACAGCATGGGTTGCTAACCGGGAACACAGGATGTGAGCTCCTGTATGCCTGGTTACCACTGTATCGACAGTGCCCGAAACGATTTCTGACACGTAGTTGGTGTTCAGAAATATTTACTGAATGAATAAATGATGGAGCATGTATTAGGAGCTTACTTTGTGATGGGTCTTTCACATAGAAAGAAAAGGTCCCTGAGACTTTGTAGCTTTTGGTTCTGCATGTGAGTATGTGTGCATGCATGTTTCTGTTGTGTGTGCATATATCCATGTGTGTGTGTTCATGTTATTGTGTGTGCATGTACCCATGTGTCTACATATGTACATGTTTGTGCATGGGTATGCCAGATGTACTTGTGTTTGAGTACACATGTGTTTCTGTATTCATGAGTCTCCTTTGTGGACGTGCACATGAACAAAGGGTGTGTGACATGTTTCTATGTGTTGCACCTGTTTGTACATGTATGTGGTGTGTCTTCATGGTGTATATACACATGAGTAGTATGTGATATGTCTTCTTGTGTGTGTCTGTGTGTGTGTGTGTATATATATATATATATATATATATATATATATGCATGCATGTGCTGTGTCCTTATGACTATGCATGTGTGCAATGTGTACGTGATATGTGTGTTTGTATGCACCTATGTGTTCACGTGTGTGTATGCACTGTGTGTGTCCATGTTGTATCTGCTCACATTCAGGGGCAGTGAGTAGAGACTCTGACTCTCTACTCCACACTGGCTTCTTCACAGGTCAACATGTCCTGTATAGCTTGGGGACATTCTACCTCGTAGCGGAAGTGGCAGGAATGAAAGGCGTACTGCTTCTTTCCTGAATAAGCCTTTCCTTCCTTTTTACAGAAAATATGACTTGGGGGCTCAGAAGACACTATCAGGAAGGCCCCCAACCACTGGGACTGAGGCCAGCACTCCACATCACTCACCATAAAGATCATGCCTACCGAGATGGAGCCCAACACACCTCACACTTCAGGAGTCTTGGACAGCAGAGTGACTCACAGACACTGGTCTTTTTCCACAAATTGTCATCCCCATATCTCACATTTGATGTAATGTGTTGTTCTATGTATAACACATGACGGCCTGAGATGCTTACAAGTTCACAAGGGCCGCCTTTGAATCACAGAACAGAACTCACACAGATCTGAGTATAGGCACTGTTCTCAGCGGGGATGGCTACTAACTGGCTATTTCTAACAGAAATGGGATAGAGGTGGAAATGGGCATAGCCTAACTTTCCACCAGAGAAAACTGAGGCTTCAAGGAGAATGTATCCCTGACCAAGGTCATGCTGGCAGGGAAGCCTTGGTCTGGATTTAAGCCCAGACAACTTGGCTCCAGAATCAAATTTATTAGCCACTGATGTTCAAATAAAAAAATCAAAAACTTTTCATTATATGTTTATAGAAAGTGATATGAATGTGGCTCATGTGAATACCCAGCAGCAGTCCTGAGTCAGTGTTTGGCTGGATTCCATTGGCAGTGAGAGCACATGGAACCAGGAGTGAGCAAGAGGAGACTCTTTTGGAGGTCCAGCCTGGGTTTGTTGGCTTTGGAGGAGATGTTGAATGCTTAGTGTTGACTGCAGCCTGGGTCACAGGGCATGCAAAGGCAGAACTGTTGGGGAGAAGAGAACCCTGTTTGAAAGATAACACCTGAAAATGCACTTGTCTCCAGAGCCCTCTTCCACTGTCTCCTTGGTATCCCTGCCTCAGTAAGCAATGCCTCCTGAGTCCCTGAGTTTCTGTGGGCCATAGTGACTATTGCATGTGGAGACATCACCTGGAGAAGCCCAACAGATAATGGAAGCCACACAGTCACTCTCTGGGTGCAGGCTGAGGAAGAAAGGGCGGTGGAAGTTCAGGGTGTGCTTAAGGAGACACTGGGGTCATCCTTCAGGGAGATGGGGCACTGTGGGGTTGCTTGGCCTCATTCATCTCCCATAAGTTTGCACTGAATATCTCTCAGCAGGCCAGCTCCCTGCTGAGGAGGGAGGCTGAGTCACTAATTCAGCTCTTGTAGGTCATGGAAAGAAAGGAGTTCCCACTCAGTTTGCCCACACCACACCCAGGACAGACCAGGGCTAACATGGGAATGTAGTCCACTTCTGTCAGCTCTTCCAAGCCTATATTCCCTGTGGATATCTCTAAACATAAAGATCAACACTATTGGGGAGCCTGGGGCCACTCCCACCAAGCTTCCCGCCGGCTTACTTGTGTTCGCTTTTTTTGGTAGTATTTTACTGGGGTTTGGCAAAAACAAATGTGTGAACATGATCTGAGGTCCCCCACTCAGGCCAGATGTCACATGGGTCAAGAACATGTGTGCAACTCAGGGGAGGCAGAAGCTCCAGGCTGGGCTCTGCATTTGCCACAGTGTCTGTCACAGCTGAGCACCACCCAGAGCCACCCTTTATCTTTCCCTATAGCACTGCCCTTTCTCCCAAGAGAGGCTAGGATGGGAAGAAAGATACTAACTCCACTGAGAATTACACCAAAATACTCACAGCCCAATCTATATAGGTCACAGGGGAACAGTATTCTGGGTCTGTGAGCAGGTTCAAAAAGCATAGGACAACTCAACTCAGCTGGGGACATGTGTGTCAAGACTATGGTGTGTGGGTGACTGCAGAATCTAGTCAGGTGGGCTGACCATATATGTCGAGATAGCTTATGCCTCCCAGCAGCCCCCTCCTGCTACTAGAGCAACCACACACCCAAGATTGAGGTCAGTATTGATATTTGTTAGTATATTAGCATGTCATAATAGCTAACAGGTACCAAAAATGTGTCTTCAGACAGAAACACCCAAACCAGGGTCACATACTGGCAGGTTGATGAAAAGACCAGAAACTTGAAGAGCAATCAGTTCATGGGCACAATAGCAATAACTCCTGAGGATGCCGAGAACCCCACACACAGACACACACCCAAGGACCCCCCTGTCCCCAGGCATTACATCACTTTTGCTCCTGGACCCAGATATGCCTAGAGCTCGCCATTTATCGCACAACTTCTGGTTATATAAATCAATATATTTCCTCTTTTGATTAATCTGGTTTGGGCTTAGTCTCTGCTGTTTACTAATAAAATCTGCCTTACTAACTCCAAATCCAATTTAGCCAGAATGTCAGCAGAGGGTGGGGAGTAGAGGGAGAGATCTTTCTTCTGATACCTCCCCAGGCATCAGAGAAGGACTTTCATGGACTTTGCAAGGATTATAAAGGCCACTGCCTACACAGGCAGCCAGGCTTAGCATGCAGGACATACTGGGAGACTGAGAACAGCAGAGTACGGACAGGCCAAACTGGCTCTCCCAGGCCATCTTTCTCTGTCTGCATAATGATATTCACATTGTCTCCCTCCATCTCCCCTCCTAGTAATCTTTCCAACCCTGGTTTCTTCCCAGAACTCCCCAAAGATAAGCCACAAAGCACAGCTGTCGTAAGGAAGATTCATAGCTGGACTGTATACGTGTGGTGCTCGCAGACACTGCACCCGGTGCCGTCTTTTCATTTTATTTAGTACCTAGGAGCAAGCTGGTCCCGAATCACATTTATGCATTCTTCATAAATCAGCTGGCTTAGAGCAGTAGCACCTGCCTTGGTGTCCTTGGCCTGCTCTCTGAGTGGGTAGCAAGTGCCCGGGACAACATGCCCAGTTCAGAGTTTTGCTTTCATACCAGGGATCAGTGATCAGGGGTGTCAGGGAGAAGGAGCTGTGGTGAACAACGATTTCTAGCTAACATCTTCACCTAAGGGTTACAGGATTCTTTCATTGTCTGCATCCACATGGCTGAGATGCAGCATCCTAGAACCGTTAGCTTCCTGAAGCTCATAGGGACTGAACCTGTAAGCCAGCATCTCTCTCTGCGCTTGGGGAATCCCACCATACTGGGCTGCTCTCCAGCATCAGATTCCAGCCCCTGAGGTACTCACTGTGTGTTCCATGCCCCTGAGGCACTCACTGTGTGTTCAAGCCCCTGGAGCTACTCACTGTATGCTCCTCACCTGTTTATAGAGAAGCACAAGAAGTCTTTGAATTTCATGGTGAATTTATTGTGTCTTGAAGCTTTCAAAGAGGCCTGGGCATCTTCCTAGGAACAGATGAGGGAGAAGGAGCCCAAGGCCTGTGTTCCACACTGGGACCAGAGGGACCACACGCTGTACCTTGTCCCTTCTTAGGAACCAAGGATCAGGCCAGGGACCAGGTAACCAACTGTGTCCTGAGAGTGATTCTGGCATTTATGTAGAAACAGAGGACTGTGTCATGGATGCTGACCCCTTCCCTGGCTGGGACAAAGGGTCACCAGACTGTCTGCATACATGGGCTACATCATGAGTTTGAAGACAGCTTGAGCTACATGAGGAGGGGGAAGAGAGGGGAGGAGAGGGGGGAATAAAGAAAAGAAAAGGAGGAAAGGAACGGGGAGAGAGGGAGGAACGGGATGGCAAATCACAAGACAAATAGAATGGAGGATCCCACTTTCCTAAGCTATCTTTACCCTATGAATTAATTTTTAGGGGAAATCAGAGGGGTTTTTTGTACCATCAATGGAAAACATTTTTAAAGATTTATTTTCTATGCTGTGTGTAGTGCCACATGCCTTTAGTCTGGCACTTGGGACAGAGACAAATGGATCTCTGTTGAGTCCAAGGCTAGTCTGGTTCCAGACCAGCCAGACTACATAATAAGACCCTGTCTTAAAAAATTAAAAATGTATGTTTATTGGTATATGTATTTGAGTGCTTCTATGTGTGTAGGTACCCAGAGAAGACAGAAGAGGACACCGGCTCTCCTAGAGCTAAAGTTATAGGTAGTCTGACATGGGTGTTGGGAACTGAACTCAGTTCCTCTGAAAGAGCAGCAAGTGCTCTTAACTCCTGAGTTGTCTCTCCAACTCCAAAGAAAAGCATTTTTGTACCTCCTCTATCTTCTATCTAGTGGGGCTTGATGGAACCAAACTGGTACACTGGAGGAAAGACTAGATCCATCCAGGGTCCCACCTTGACTTGATGTACCTTTAGCCACACATAAGGACACAGCACAAACCCTTGAAGACACATGAGCCTCTTGTCACATTTGTCATTAGAATGGGCCAATCTGGGTTCTCATATGCTGAAGCTCTGTTGAAGTGACTTACAGATATTCTCTACTGTGCCCTAACCCTCTGGGCCATTATATGGTTGTTTTACTCATAAATAAAAACACAAAGATCTGATTTCTTTTGTCTAAGCCCTTCACTGCTTTCTGGTATTTTATGGGTTGGTCACCTATGAGGTACAGCCCCCTGATTGAAGAAAATAGGTAGAATGTGAACGGAGGTAGAATGTGGGTGAGGCTGGGAACTCCCTTACCACTACCATGGACAGTCAGCATCCTGAGCAGACACCAGAATGGACCTGGTCATACATGTCCTGTCCAGGATTCATGAGCCAGGGTCGCAACCACCTCACCTGGCTCACTTTTGCAAACCATTAAAATAAGCTGTCACAGTCTCATTTTTAATGCCGAGGATGGAGGGATTACTCGGTGGTTAAGAGCAACCGCTGCTCTTTTAGAGGACCAGCGTTCATTCAGTTCCCAGCACTGACATTGGTGCTCACAGTACCTCTACCTCTAACTTGAGCTGCAAGACTTCCAACATCCTTCTGGTCTCCACAGTTACCTGCATTCATATGCACTCATGCACAGGCACCAGTGCATGCGTGTGCACACACATAATTTTTTTAATCTAAAAAAAAAAAGTTGTGCGTGCTTGATATCAGGCGCCTGAGCCAGGACTGTGTGCCGTTCAAATTCCACCAGTGCTGGCCTGGGCCTTTGCCAACTTTCACTACTATATAATTTAATCTAATTGATCAATTAAATCCAAATAATTTTTAAACAACTCATAATAACAGTTATATAATTTCAGTACTACATGTAATTTTCTTAACAACTTTATCAAAGGAAATTGCTCATGAGCCGGTGCCGTCTGCCTCGTGGGATGTGTCATCTCCACCATTCTTTCTTAGGTGACTGGAAGCATGGAATCCCAGGAGAGGAGGAACCCCACAGGATAGGAGGCAGCTTGTTGGTGGTCAGGCGCCCACAGCTCCCTTTGTCACCTCTCAACACTAAGGGACTCCCTGGGGACCCCACAGGAAGACAATTGTTCTCTTGAGTTACCCTACAGCTGCACTGGGTAAGGACAGCCTCTCAGACAACATTAGAGGAGGCATGAAAGGAGCAGCTAACCTTTCTCATGTGACTGTCATGGGTCCTTCTGTGTTCAGTGAGTGGCTCTGTTGACCCCTCTGGGAATATCTAACCTTAGGTGAGATGCTGTGTCCCTCCTCCTGCAGGCTGTCTGAGCTCACTGTACCCAGACAAAAGAACACACGTCGTAAAATCAGCTTTCTACCACTGTGACGAAATACCTGAGACAAATAACCTACAAGGAAGAAAGGCTGGTTTGGATCGTGATTTCGGAGATTTCATTCCATGGATGCTTTGCCCTGTTGCATTGGAGCAGTGGAGAACACAGCACATGATGGTAGGAGAACAGGGCAGAGGAAGTCGGTCACTTCATAGCAGGCAGGAAGCAGAACAGAAAAAGAAGGAAAGAAAAGAAGCAAAGATCTGAGTCCCAACGTTTCCTTTATGTGTCCCTGATAATGCTAGAAGCTGAAGACCAAGACTTTAACATGGATGCTGTGAAACTCCGCATTCTTGATGCCACCATCCCTGGTCTATGGAAGTCACAGCACCAGAGGAAGGAACCTGTACAATCCCAATCGGAGGGCTGGGAGGCAAGGCCCACTCTCTGGGTACAGGAGCCTTCAGCTCCAGGTAACAGGAACTGACCTGAGCAACTAGAGTGGAAAACAGGTTTGTGGGTGGAGATGGCGCATCATTTGAGAGGAAGCAAAAACCAGGCTTGAAAAAGACAGAAAATGAGATTCAAGAAGCCAGCTGCAGCAACAGAAAGTCGAAGACCTGGAATGGGCAGGGCCTTTCTGGGCATTGGCTACACCATGAAAGTTCAGACAGACTGGTCAGCTTCTCTTTGGCATCATATGCCTGAAGAGTTAGGGTGCCCCAAAACAGGAAACAGAGAGCCCTGAGAGGACAGAGCACATGATGGCAGGAAAGGGACCAGCAACCCTCTTATCTGGCCATGTGGAACACTCCACCATGGCCCATTCCTATGCAGAACACCCCAGCTGATTGCTCCACTAATCAAGAGCTACCGTGTACACAAGACAGCTTCATGACTGGACTGGGGCTCCCTACCCAGCTCTGCAGTACCGGGCATTTTCCATTCACTGTCATGTCTTGCTGTGTGACGGCTCCTACCCACTCACACTGACCGTGGCCCCATTTCACAGGTGTTACAGGTTAAAGGGTCCCCAAAACTCACATGATATGGTTCTGCTTCCCCCAACACCTCAGAATGTGACCACATTGTCAACATCATTGGCTTGAGTGTTAGGATAACGTTGTTCTGGAGTAGGGTGCCCTAATCCAGTGATTAGTGACCTCACAGAGGAGGGAAAATCTGGGCAACAAAAACCCACAAAAGAAAACAATGAGAGGTCACAGAGAGGAACACACCCACAGGGCCAGAAGTAGCCTTGGGAGGGCCCGATGACCTCTGATTTCTGTTATTGAATCTTGACCTCTGGTGTCATTGTGGTTACTCTCGGAGACAGGATCAGCAGAGGAGTGCTCCAGGGCTCAGACAGTGCAAAATTAAGCCACAAACCTCTAAGGCACACAGAGGGCCTGCCCCACCAATCAGAAGCTGGCATGATTATAGGCCAGCATGTCACCTCCTGCTGTGCTGCTGTCTTGAAGACTTGTGTAGTGGTCAGAGGAGAGGCAGGGAGGGCCTAGCCTCAGAGTGAAGCAATCCTGGAGAACAGCCAGAAATGGGGAGTCACAAAGTAGGTCCCTGCCAGGGGTGTAAAAGCTGGTGTCTCAGAAGCAGCATCAGAATAAGGTAAGACAGGGTGGAAGGCAGAGGCCCTGGGGGCCAGGGCAGCATGGGAACTGGGTAGGTCCTACAGGTAAGCCTTGCTCCTGGCTCTGTGTGTACATCCCTGATTGCCTGAATATACATAGACCTGCATGTATGTTTTTAATGTATGTATCTGCATATATGTGCTGAGATGTATGTATGCCTGTATATTATGCTTACATGTATGTGTGTTTGTGTGCACAAGCATGTATAAGTTTCTGCATGAGCGTGCCTGCATGTGTGTCCCTCAATCTATGTGTGCCTGTATGTATACGACTACATGAATGCACTCCTTCACTTTTGCGGTTGTATGTATTTTCTTTCATACACACACACTTAGTGTGGCTATGTGTACATGAGCATGTTGCATATGCATGCACCATTGTGTATATGTGCTTACATGTATGCTCCTGTATACATTGTGTGCCTACATGTGTATTCCAACACTGTGCACCTGAATAGGTGAGTTGGCAAAAGTAAGCTTGCATGTAGTGTGCACCTGTATGTATATTCATTTGTACATGTGTGCCTGCAAGCATGTATTTTCATGTATCTGAGTCTGTGTGCTCCTACATGCGCACATACGTTTATGTGTGCATTTTCATGTGTGTGTGCTGGCAAGTATGTCTTTTTGCATGCATATTTGTATGTGAGTGTGTGTGACTTGTCATACATATGTATGTATATATAGTATGCTGTGCCGTGTGCATGTCATGTGTGTGAGTGTGTTTATGTATTCAGTCATGTGTTGTACAAAAAAGTTTCAGTCAACAGCAGATTACATACATGGCAGTGGACCCATGATTACATCACCTAATGTTGTCATAACGGTTCTTAGTTTTTCTATATACACTGTATACTCCCAAAGCAATGAAATTGCTTGCTAATGCATTATTTGGAACATAGCTTTGCTAGTTAGTTTTTGTCAACTTGGCACAAAGTCACTTGGGAAGAGGGAATCTCAACTAAAGAATTCCCTCCAGCAGATTGGCCTATGGGCATGTCTGTGGGGCATTTTCTTAATTGATGATTGATGTGAGAACTTCAGAATTAACATGTGCAAACAGGAATAATAGCATCTTGCTACTAGTGGCCTCAGTGGATGCCAGCCATTATCACTGTTGATCAGAGTGTGAGCCCAGCCCCACAGGCTCAGCTGTTTTATGCCTCATCTTCCTCCCTCCAGGCCCCCTATTGGCTTCATGTTCTGCCTCAGAATTCCATGACCAAGGCCCAAAGAGGGGCATTTACTCCCTACAGGGCCTAGCAATGGAGAGCCATCTGTGGCTGTCTCCTTCATTGTCCCCTTGAAGGTATAGAAATGGGATCGCAGAATGCCTGGTGCTGATGGTGAAATTCCCAAGATTTCTACTTAAATGCAGCAACAAAGTTTTCATTAATTCTCCGTAAGTGTAAATGTTCCCACAGGCACCAATTAAAGTCTTCTGTGGAGTTTTCCCAAACAAGCACCATTTTAATTTGAATATCAAACACTTTGCACAGCAGGGCTGCTGAGATTCCCACAGAGCCAGGCCCTAAGAGAGAGAGTGGCTTCCCTGGTCCCATTGCCCCCATCTCCTCTAGGTTTCTCTTCCATTGGGGTCCTTCTTACCATCTCAATAACCCCCATCTGCCCCCTCCAAGAAAGTGTCCCAAGACCCAGAATTCTCCAGGCCTTGGAAATGTAAGTACATGTTGGGGGGGGGGTGGCATGGAGTTACTGGAGGTTGAAGCCTTGACCAGACTTCTAGAAACTCACAGTGAAAGGGTCCCAAGGGCCCCTGCTTTCAGTTTTTCTGCTCATTATCCCACTTATCACAAAGAAAGCTTTCCACTGTCCCCAGTAGATAAACCTTTTGCCCATCAACACTTCCTCAAAAATTCAAGTTAATTGTCAATATCCATAAACTTTTTTGTGTATGTACATTGTATATATCATATACATGCATGCACATTTGCATGTGTGTGTGTGCAAGCAGGTAGAGGCCAGAGGTGGACATAAAGTATCTTCCTCTATTACTCTCCACCTTATCTTTTGAGACAGGGTCTCTCCTGGTACCCAGTGCTCACCAACTGGCTAGACCAGATTACCAATGAGTCCCAGGAATCTGCATGGCTCCCCAGTGCTCGAGTTACAAATTTGTGCCACCATGCCTTGCTGGGGATCCAAATCCAGGTTCTCAGGCCTTTGTGGCATGCACTTTACTGAGTGAGCCATCTCCCTAGCCCCAGTATCTGTGTATCTTAGCAATTCCCACCTCAGGTGTCCCTGTAAGTCCTCAGCAAGATGGCAAAGTGGGTCTGAACAATCGGGGCTGCTTCTAAAAAAAACTTTGTGCAAATTCAGTTTGCAGCAATTCCTGTTTAGCCCACTGTGGCCATTTGTTTTTCCTCCCTGCCATGTGGTCAAAATTGGGGTAGTGTTTGTGGAGGTCCCTGACTTAATGTTAGATCTCCTAGACTGGTAACAGTGAAATGTCAATACTATCAGCATCTTCAGAAGCATCACCATCACCATCATAACTGTCATCCTCATATTACCGCTATCACCATCATCAACCATCATTACTACTGGTACCACCATCTCATTGCCACTATCGCCAGCATCATCAATGTCATCATCTTCATCACCACCATCACCATTGCTATTGTCACTGCCATTTCTTTTCTGATTTTTTTTTTTTTTTTTTGGTTTCTGTTTTTTGGGTTTTTTTTGAGACACATAGCCCTGGCTGTCCTGTAACTCACTATACTCACTATGTAGATCAGGATGGCCAGGACTTGAACTCACAGAGACCTGCCTGCCTCTGCCTCCCAAGAGCTGGGATTAAAGTCATGTGCCACTATACCTGGTCTTCACCACTGTGGTTTCCATCACCATCATCACTGTCATCATCAGCATCATGATTATCATCAGATCTACACAATGGAGTCTCTCTTTCATCAGACTGACTTAGGTAACTGGCTCCATGAGAGTTCTCTCAGTAGATCTAGTATTGTCAGTCCACACAAGTCCATTTGGGTCAGAGCTGAGGCGTGCATAGGTGGAGTGGAAGTAGGTTTGGAACCCATTGTTAATAACATCCAGTGGTCACAGCTCTGAAGATTATGGATAAAACTTGATCAGTGTCCTGCTTTGCCTATGTGTTTTTTCTACTTGAGTCACCTCTATTATCTGTCTAGCAAGCATCCATTTTCTCCTCTTCTTGAACTGCAAGATTTCTTTGAGGACCCACTTACTTTAAACCCATTGGTGGAGGTAACGATAACCAACTCTCAGCTCCAAAAATGATCTATCCATCACAGTCCATTAACATAGTCCCTTCCAGCCCTTGCCCAGGCATTGACCTTTGGGAAGCCCATGACGTACTTCCTGACTTTTTTTTTTAGAAGATGCTGAATATACCCTTTTACCATTAGTTTTGTGTGCCGTGTGGCATATGGGTAAGGAGTTCCTGTGTAGGTCTTCCCTAGCAACAGAAAGCTAGACTGAGGAGCTAGTAGCAGGAGACAGCTGAGATCTTGGGAGGTCTTCTAGCCTGCAGCAGCTGTGCTTGAGGCAGCTGCACAACCGAAGTGCTTTCTCTGATGTGTTTGGCTGAGCTCTGCCACACACAATCAAAACAGTCTTGACACATTCATCTGTGGAGGACTTTTCTGGGAAAGTCCCCACCAGGCTTGCTTGTGCAGCACTTGAACTTCACTTGAACAACTGCTCAGCTTCAATCTCCATCTCCCTGAAGTAAGATGACTGTCCCCACCTCTAGCAGCTAAGACACAGGCTGTGTCAGCCAAATAGCCTCTCTGGAATCAGCAGGATGGGGATTCTCAGGGGCCTGGGCTCTGCCTGTCCATCAGCATAGCCCTGCATTTGGAACGCTTGGAAACAGATTGACCCATGCTGTCCCTCTGGGCACCTATCTCCCCAGCAGACCTAACCTTTGAGATTCTGACATAAGCAAACAGTGTCTCCTGGGTTTTGTCTGGGACTAGTCATCGGTCCCTTGAGACATGGGCCTGACAGCTTCCATCCTATCTAGACATATTTGTCCCATCCCTGAAGGCCTTTGAAGAGGCCTGGATTCCTAGTCTGTGCTCTGGGCAAACAAGTCCTCCAGGCCCCTGAATCTTTTGTGGTCTTGTTTCAACTCCTGCTCTTCCACCAAAAAGCCCTGCCGGACAGACACTCTTCCCCAGCATATATTGAACAGTGTTGTGGTTTGTATATGTTTTCCCCCATGTTTACTGAGGTGTGAGACCTGGGAGGATGTAACTGATAAATGAGGTGAACTAAAGTCTCATGCAACTTTGTTTAGAGCCTCAGACAATTTATACTGTGAGGGTTAAAAGGAATCACAAGAATAAAGTCTACAGTCACAAGGGCAGGCTGCACATGGCGCACAAGCAGCTCGTGGCTAAAATATGTTTTTCCATAGAGGTATCTAAACACACAACAATAGCCAGTTGTAATAAATAATCTGAAGTAAACTCAATCCTATCTGCTACACCTGGGAGGGGTACAAAAGAATAATCCAAGAACGATTCTGTGTTTTTGAAAAAAAAAAAAAAAAAAAAAAAACGTAAGTCATAATACTCTTGACTTGGTTTCTTGAAGTTTTCTCACAAGTACTCAGAATCCTCCTCATACAACTTCTGACACCCCAAACTTCATGTTCTGCAAGCTTGGTACCCAATCAAAGGTGGTATTAAGGTGGTAGGAACTTTAAGAGGCAGGATATAATGGAAAAGGATTGAGCCAGCACCATATTCTTGAGCCTGCAGAAGTACAAGCCAAATAAACATTTTTTGTCATGGGGTGCCCTGCCTGGAGTGTTTTGTTACAGCAACAGAAGATAAGAGTAAGATACTAAGTTATAAATTACAAGGAAGTCTTCTTCCCGGCCACCCTGTGTGCTACCTCATTGCAAAAGCACCAGTCTCAATCCATTTCTCACTATCCAGTCACTCAAGCAAGCATTCGCTTTTCTTGTCTGTGAGGTCAGCGTAATCTGAAGGCTAGAGGCTACAGGTGTAGCTCAGAGGTAGAGCACTTGAAGGAAGGGACTCTAGCCAGCCCAGGTATGGCAAACATGGCTCTGGCAGGCCTTACCCTCCCCCCACCCCCACCACACACACACACCCTTCCCTCTGCCTTGCTAAAAAACATTATTCCTTATTTGGCACTTCATCCCCCTAAGGCTGACTACCAAGGTCCAGCTATTAAAGTACTGAAGCCCAGCAATCAAAAGCCCCCTTTGGTTCATCTCATTAGCATGCCCAATTAAAATTAAACACCTCATCCTAATACAGGGTTTCCCCTTTTACATTTACAAACTGCCATTTGCCTATGGGCCACATCTGTCTCCTCTCTATCCAGAAGCAATCCTTTGTCCTCCCCCCCCCCCCCCCCCCCCCCCCCACAAATACCCCTTCTGCTCTCCCTTGCCCCTTTTCTCACCTCTCCCTTCTTCCCTTCCTCTTCTCCCTCTTCATCTATCCCCTACCTTTGTCCCTTGTCCCTGCCCTCTGTCCCTCTGGGGCAAATAGATCTCCTTTGGGCTGAGAACTGGTCTTGGGATGTCCTGTGCTGACTCTGAGGATCCCTACAGCTCTTGTCTAGCCCAAGACCCTGGGTTTGATTTATAGCTTCATAACTAATTAAAGGTATTTATGATTAAAATATTCCGATGAAAAGCCGAGTGGTGGTGGCACACACCTTTAATCTCAGCTTTTGGGAGGCAGAGACAGGTGGATTTCTGTGAGATCCTGGCCAGCCTGGTCTACAAAGCTACACAGAGAAACCAGTCTGGGGCGGGGATGAAAAAAATATTCGAGAAACAGGAGGTGTCCAACCCAGGCAAGTCAGACACCCTACTACGTCAGGATCCCTTTATCCATTCCTGTTTCTGTTCTTTCCATCTGTTAGCAACCCACTGGAAGGAGCTTCCCACTGTGTGCCTGGCATTCCACTGTCTCAAGTGATCTTTAGCTGCTTAATGTCTCTTCAGTGAAAGTTGACCACAAGAAAATATGGGGGGGGGGTTTATGGGGAGGGGTAATGTATGCATGGGTGTGAACGAACACACACACACACACACACACACACACACACACACACACAATACTTACCAATACAATACTTTCTGGATGTCAGACACTATAGCAGCCCAGAACTGGAAAACATTCTGAATGTCTGCATTTCTAAGCACCAGGGAGAAGCTGGAGCCTTTCTGGATGGAAGGATTTATCTCCAGGTTGGCCACTCCTCACTGGACCTTGGAATTTCAAGGACATTCTACCTCCTCACTGGACCTCGGAATTCCAAGGACATTATATGAACATACCCTGACCCCTCTCCAGCTGGCCATAGGCAAGACATGGATGGGCTATGGTAGCTCCACATCTTTTCTCCACAAACCCATAGCTGTGGTCAGAGGCCCAGACTGTCCTTGTGTTTTTCAGGGCATGGAAGTCCCAGCCCCAATCCTGGTCTCTTCTCACAGCAGTCTTTCTCTATCTGGACCTGCGTCCCGTGTTTTCGATCTACACAGAAGCCTGTGAGCTGCACATATATCTTAAGGGCACAGCCCTCCTCACAAAGTGCCACCATCTCCCAGACAGGATGGGACAGATGCCATCATGTGCAGTTTCTGAGTCATTGCTTGCACCAAAGACAAATCAGCTCACAGACCTTGTGAGTGGCTAGAAACAGATTTAAAAGAGCCAGCATCCCAAGGTGAACCTCCTGGGTAAGAGCTGCCTGGCCCCAAGCGTCGTATTTCTAGTTCCCTAACCCAGAAGCCAGAACCACCACCGCCTCAAACACACGAGGAGCATGGCAAAGCTTTCAACCTATCGCCCTTGCCCCAGTCCTCTCTGCTGTCCCCAGACCCCAGCCCTAGACTTGGCTACTGGCAGAAGATGCTGGAAGAGATAGCGCCCTCAATTCAGTCTAGCCATATGCTCCAAAGGCGAGTTTCTCAAGTGGATGGATTTAAAGCCCCTCGCTTCCTGCCAACATTACATGCTTCTCTTTTCCAGCAGGCTGGTCCAAACGCATCCTCCCCTGTCTTCCCAACATGGGGGAGGAAGGCAGTCGGAGTAGATGAATAAGACAGGTCTTCCTGAACGCTCTCCTCCTCCTCCACAAGACGAGCCTGGAGATAAGATGAAGCCGCTAGAAATTGGCTTTTCAATCTGAGTCCCCAAGGGGAACTGTCATGCTCCAGGCCATGGCTGCTCAGTATGGAGTCACCAGGACCCTGTTCCTGAGCTATAGTTGGGATCACCCAGACTCTGCAGGGACTCTGTTGAGCTTTCTCTGCCCAGCTCCAGGAGAGTTCCCAAAGACCAAACTGCTCCGTCTAAAAGCACTCCACCATGGCTCATTTGGCAGGGACAGCTCCCCTTTGACTCTGCCTGAAAAGCAGGAGCCAGAACTGTCCAGAACAAAGCTCACTGAGTCCTGGCCTCAGATGCAATGTGGAAGAGGGTGAGTCTCCAAGCAAAGAGGGGCCTGCCTTGCTGGTGCCTCCACAGTGACAAGACCAGCGAAATGCCCTG